CCATGTTTGTCTTCCACCCAAAGTACTCCCAGCAAAAATAGCTGCCAGAGCTCCTGTGCAGCAGTTGACTARAGAACTCTGGTTTTTGCAGTTCTCTTCTGCTGTATTTTGAGAAGGTTTTTTTTCCCAAGTCTCTTATCAAATAGCTTTTAGTAGTGACAGATAAGTTTGGTGTAAGCCTGTTAGTTTCCCACGAGCAAGAGCTTTGGGGAGACTTTCAAGAGTATATTTGAATTATAGACACTGAATGAATCATAAATAAATACCAAGATCTCTGGTAGGCACAAAATACTGGTTTATGTTTTGATGAATAAGTGGCAAAAGGCATAAACCAAATTACCATAATAAAAGATTATATTTGTGTTATTGAATTAACACGAAAAATGCAAAATTCTATTCTGAACCACACGTTTGTTATTGCGAAGGAATTTCCACCAAAAAATGCAGTTTTACAGACTGCATGCATATTCTGCTGGACTAAATGGAGCCTGAAACCTATAAACAATTTGTACTAATCTAATTATAAATGTACTAATCTGTGTTGGCACAGGACCACGCTGCTACCTACTTATGTCATAAGAGTAAAGACAAATTTAAATTAATACCTGCATGAGAGCTGTATGATGTAAAACCATTACRCCTCTGACACCCCAGCCTTTATCAGTGTGGAAAATCCCAGCAATTTCACTGAGTAAAAAAAGAATCCTGACTGCATAAGTGGCAAGAGGAGAGCAAAGCTTTGTGGTTGTCCCCACACCGGGGTGTAGCTTAGGGACAGCTCTTCCCTTCACATTTGCTTGGAGTCGGTACAGAAAAATCCAGGAAGGAGGAAATAACAAAATATTAAAAACCACTAAAGCAGCTTCCAGAAAATGCCCTTCTGCCCCTGCCTTAGTGTCAGTGAGGGTTCAAGGAACATGTCTGAACCTGCAAACCAGCCCCAGAGAGCGTCAGAGGGGAACCAACCTTTATTCACAGCAACGAAGGGTCAGCCCTGCACTTCTTCATTCTGTCAGCTTCTGRGGCAGAAAACTGATACAGGGCACAGAGAAATAGAAACCACAGGGCACAGGAAAATACAGGGCACAYACAGCCTGAGAGGGAAGGAAAATGTTCATTCACAGGGTCGTGCCATGCTGGATGCTCACTCACCTTCCTCACCAACAGTTGGGCAATCGTGATCCTTTGTGGAGTTTYGATGCAAAATGAGCACTGGAACTTCCTGCAGAAACAAACATTTTGCTCCCAATCCTTTGGGCCTCTGGTAAAAGAAAAAATCCCCATGGGCAAAGAAAACATCTATTAAAATAGGAAGTGTTGTGTGTTATACACAACATTCAAACAGTCTGAGGTAAAAAAAAAAAAACCAACACAAATTGATCATTGTGCATGAGTTAGTTCCTGCCATTTCAATTCCTTCTGACAGAGCACAGCCTCTATTTAGTATTTCTTATTCTTCATATAATAAAGTTGTAAGTGCCAAGAGCTGACTGATTGATAATGGTGTTATTTCCCAGTTTCACTCAGCAATGYAACCACAAAGCKTTTGGATTTCTGGRCCTCGTGAAGGGGTGGAAAAAAAGYTAATTTTGTGGCAGGGCTGCTGCTTTTGTCCTGTCTGTTACTGTTCACTCTCCRACAGAAAAGCTTTTTGTATTAAATTATAAAGAAGTCACTGGACAAACTCAAGAAAAATGAGTCAATCACTGCAAGAAAATGATGCGCGTTCAAGTTAAATATTATGAATTATGTATACTCATTCATGCTGCTTATTGATATTTGTTGTGAAGTAACAACAGCTTGTGTATTCATCAAAGGATKTAACACTAAATTTTATGTTTAAATCACAATTACTTCCTTCTCTCCGAATGGGACTATGTCCTATTCACCTGCCAATAGGAGAAAACATGATCGGATTGAGGAAAAAAATCCAAATAACTTTCTCCATTTTATCTCATGAAGGAACTTTCTTGATTTAAGGCACAGGACGAAGTTCACTGCCAAGTATAGATTTACCAACAGCAACWGCCTGATGCATCCTCAGGGTGCAATTACAGCAATTATCTGGATGGATCTTCTCATCAGCGACCTTTGACTCATCCCCTACGAACTGTCAGTGTTCATCACCAGATGGGCAGAGCGGTTTTATTGTTTCCATCCRTCAGCTGCTTGTGAGAGGGAGGAACCCCCGGAGCACAGCCGCTCCCTCCTGGCTGCTCTCCCGGCACGATGGAACACCCTGGACRCTCCTGCATCCCYCACAGGCATCGCAGGGAAAGCAGAAAAAAGATCATTTTATATCCAAAGTACGCGTGCGCTGCCTAATTTTAAAAAGTGGGATTGGTTGGTTGAGCATCACTTTTTGGAAGTTTGGCCCAAAAGGAGAGACGGTTGTCTCACTTTGCATCTCGCTAGAATGAATTCAGTGAACTTGCTATAAACTTACACCTCTGCAAAGGTGGAGAAGAGTCTCACCTTAACACTATTATGACATTTATTATTGCACAATTTTTACTAAGCAAAGCTCCTGCATGGCCTGGAGTGGACAGTTCACATAAAATTAAACAATTTCAATTCAGTCAGTAAAGTAAAGGATGAAGGAATAAACAACTCCGTACAAACAGCAGGACATTTAAAATGGGATTGGCAAATACTAACTATAAACAGTTTTACAGCTTTCACTTTGCAGTGAAACAGCTGATGAGTTCCTGTAACAAAGGAAAAATCACCTTTGTCTTAAAGGGATGATATTTAGCTCTCTCAGTTTACAGCTCTTCCAGAAAAAGGAAGGCAGTTCCAAGGTTTAACTRTAATCACCTTTAGCTGCTATCTACTATTTAATTAGTTGGCAATAAAAACAAGACTCTTTCTTATCAAAGCAATCAGCAGTGTTACTCCTTCGAATTCCTCCCATTAACTGSAAATGTTGTTATGTGGACAGGGCAGGGACAGAACCAATGACAGTCAATCTGGGAGAAAAAAAAATAACCCAAAAGCTAAAAATAAAATAATTTAAAGAGGCAGCCCAAACAGTCAACTACTGAAGGAGATTGAAACTAAAKTCTTCATTGTCAAGTGCCAATTCAAAGTGAAAACAGATTGAACCAAAACTGTCCAAAAATGCTTTCCYATTTTGTAACGCTCACACCCCTAACGCCAGACAGAGCCCAGCTGTTTCTGCAACTGACTTCAAACAATAGCTGGGCTGTTTAAAAGTTTAAAAGCTGTTTAAAACAGGGAATGATGTTTGCCTGAAGACATACTGTATTAATGCAAATTGCTTTCAAATGCACATCCATTTCCTTAAACAAAACAAAAACGAGATATTAAACTGAGTGGAAGTTACTGCTAGAGCCAAATACAACCTATCAGCCATAATTCAGTCACCCATTAGGGACTGCAGGAGTGAGCTTTTATGCAGGGGGAAACACAGCAAAAGGGGCCTCTGTTTGTACCAAAGGAAAGTGGTTTTCATTTCACTCTTCCTACTTTGGAAAGGCCTTAGGACTATGGAGTCTGTGTCTCCTTTTTGGACCYTCCAATTACCACCAGACAAAACTCTGTGTTTCTCCTTCCAGGAYGCTGCACACACTCATGCCCATGGCTGTTAGTCATGCTGCCACAGTGCYTCCCTATCAGCTTAAGCACTGACCTTTAAGAAGTTATAAATGTTATTTCAGCTTTCATATTCCAATTTTAATGCCTCTGGAAGTGATTAACAGCACTGGTTCTATGACTTTAGGTCCTTGCCTGTTCGCTCACCACCTTCTGCTAATGTAACTTAATCATCACATGCTGCAACACCCCAGGTTTCTATTCCTGGTTCGGTGAGACTGAAGTAGTAACAAGCAGAGCACACTATCATCARTGGGTTTCATTGCTCCTGAAGGCAAGGATTAAATCAGAAATTCGTTTTGTTCTGTGTCATCTTACTCAGCAGTACAACGGAGACAACACAGCTATGGCTGAGAGACGGAGAGGCTTCCTCACAACCACAATTACACTCCCATCTGTTAASTTTTTGTCAATTATCTTTGCAGTGTAGTTGTGAGATTGTTAAATAACCAAATTTGCGTAACTAACGAAAAAGTAATCATGGCAAAGATCCTCAGGAATGAGCCGACAGRCAGCAGACATGTTTCCCTGATCCAGACTCAGTAGTCAGCAAAAAGATTTGAAAGACAGGAAAGAGACTAGTTTGGATACAAAGGAGAGGATGGCAGGAATGTTARGATGACAATTCAAGAAAATTTCTTGGAACAGTCACAAAAATGGAAATCAGCTGGAAATCCACCATTTCCTCCTATACTCTGYAAGAATAATGCTTAGACAGTGAGTAAAGACCACCTCATGGTAAAATGTTACATCACAGCAAGAAAAGCCCTGGTCCTTGCGGTGGACTCTGWCTGTGAACCATTTCCACACTCTTGTGTCAACATTTAACTTGGAGAACGTATGAAAGAAATCTACTGGAAAGCTCCTCCTTTATCAAAGGGCCAGCTCACTCCTCACACTCTCCATACCCACTTCACCTCACCTGAAAAGGAACTTTTAAAATTTGCTTAACAAATCCGTTGCCTGTTAAAACACCTGATTTCTCCTTAAGTAAAGGTTTTTTTTAGATAAGCGGCTTAAATTATCAACAAATAATAACTTTACTGATACGTTAAAAAGATTTATCAGTGACAGAAAATACACTAACATGCCCCCTTGCACTGGTGGAGCTGACCTGACCTTCCACGGAGCAAAGTCAGCCAAGGCAGAGCCGGAGGAAAAAAATAAACACAGCAAAGGAYGTGCAGGGCTGAAGGGATGTCACAGTCAATGAAAGTGGAGGGATCAGCTGAGCCTGTGCCAGCCCCACCGGGAGMAAATTCCCGTTCCAAGCAAGGCAGTTGTGCCGTCCCCATCCTCTCTCCTGGTCCCGGGGTCAACACTTTGTAGGGATATTAGGACTTAATAACCTGCCAATGAAAAAAAAAAAAAATAAAAGAGCTGTTTTTATATCGCCTGGACATGGCCAAAGTGTGGATGGACGCGCTGAGGGAAACTGAGGCAGCAATTCCAGAATCTCTGAGCAGCTTTCGGTGCGCTCCCACGGCGGYGGCCCCGCGCTGCCACCTGCGGGACACCAGAGCCAACTTCCAGCCTCGGCTCCTGCTTCTCATTCCCTTGGCAGAGTCTAGGATCCTTCTGAGATTAATTCTTCCAAATTTCAGGATGTAATTCATTCTAATCGACACATCACTTCTGCAATGCCACACGCCACATTTAACATCATTGAAGCCACTGCTGCGTCAACACTGTTTTATATCAGAGCCTAAATAGTAAAAAAATGTATCCAAAGGCCTGTTTTTACTCTTTCTCTATTTTTCATCTGCTGGGTCTGTGCAAAACTAAATTTCCTCACACATTAACTATTTAAAGCATAGACAATTCCAGCTTGCAGAGGAAGCTCGAAATGCAAGTTTCCTCTTTTTTCCCAAATAACTGAATTATCTCAGAACACTGTTACATAATACCCTAGAACACTTCAGTACTATCTGTTTCACACATGAATAATTCCTCTGTATTTAACTCCTCCACAATTAGTAAATTAAAATATTTTAAATTTGTCATCTGTTCAGAATATGTATCACTTTAAAAGATATTAATATGTACCTACTGGTCTAAAATATGTGAGTAATACAATGAAATTAAATTATATTTGTAAAGTAGAAATCAGAATAGTGATGCAAATATTTGCATTTGCATAGTTATGCAAATTCCTAATCATGAAGAACAATCACGGCTGTTAAAAAGCATGAGGCCACTAGGAATGGCTCCTGAGGAGGTCAAAGCATTCTTTCTTGATTTCCAAAATGACACATTTTAGTTTCTAACTACTGAAATAATRATTTTGAAAGTTCAAGAGATAAAAATATCTTTTATTACTACATTCACATTCCACTTTCTGTAGTCTGATTTTTAGATGTCAGCACAAAATGAGTCAGCTTTGTTATTAACAATTCAAATGAACAATATATATTCAGCAAATTGATCAAGGAATTTAAACAACTTCTAAAATTAATTTTAACAAAGAAATCTGCTGCTTAGAATTTATAACACAAATGGAAACAGCACAACAAGAAGAAAGTTAACAATATTATGTAAGCAATTATCACGAACAAAAGTATTCTTAAGTCCTATCCTAGGTAAGAGCAAATGAACTTACTAAAATTTTACCAATACAAAAACAGACAAATCAATAAATGTGAACCTGTATATTAGGGAACACTTTGGAAAGACAAAAACAATTAGGATTTTTATTCAAGCCCTCAAATTTCTCCGGGTTTGCTATGAAAGTGAAGGTTTCTGTTATCAAAGTGGTAATTCCTGTTCACGTATTTCACTGAGCTGACTGATGAAGGTCTTGATGAGGCCTTTGGTGTGGTCTCAATAATGGGATTATTTGCTGTAAGACAATAATTACCTCTTGCTAATACCAACATCCTTCTTTATCTGCTCACTGTGAGCACAGATAGTGGGGACACTGCGTGGCAGTGAAAGCTCCTGGCACTGGTTTGGGTCACAGAACAGCTGCTGAATTCAAGAAGTTATCCCAGAACAAGCAGGTAGACACATTACCATGTATAGGAGAGAGCTGGTATTTTAATAAATTAACTAGCAAAAATTAAAGTTTCATTTTTAACAGGCTATTCAAAGTAAAAAAAGTATAAAGTTGCAGCTGCTGTCAGCCTGCAGCTCACCTGGAGTGCACAGCACAGGAATTCTCTGYCCCTGACCACATCAGCAGAACCAGCAACCACAGCTTGCCCAATGTGCAAACCCAAACCATTTAACACCAGTCAAATTCTACACCATAATGAAGCTAAACACAGATGTTAATCTTGAAACTGGGATGAGGGTTTGCCATTTCAATTAAATTTACTTGTTACACGACCCAATATAATTATTGTTATGATATTTTTTAGTTATGCTGGTGCTTATTTATAATGAAATGTAACATAAGAATAGGAGCATTAAAGATGAATATTTTAAAAGTATTTAAGATTTTATGAGCAGGTTTCCAACTATTAATTATAAATGACAAAAAACCAAGTGTGAACAGTGCATAAATGACAATTGTGATCATTGTAAAAAAAATCATAAAAATTAATAGTGCTTACTGTAATGACTCTAGCAATTACTAAAGAGTTAAGCCCGGTAGTTTCCTTATAACCTAAGGAAAGTTAGAGAATTRTATTTGACAGTTAAATTTTTTTCTGATTCTTATGTATACTATCAACATGGACTTTCCTAAATAATACAATTGTGCTTTATTGAAGAGCTAATTAAAATCAAAGTCGTGGGTGTGTGTTTCGGATCTGGAGTTAAATGGAGGATCACAATCTTTCATGGGAACATTTGCAAGGCTATTTAAAGGAAAAGGAGRGGTAGAGAAAACAGATCCCACCTGCTTTCAAAAAAGAGTCTGCTTAGAGTCACACATGGTTCTGCATTCTCAGAATGTGGGGGTCCTCCCCACTTTTCTGACACCCTGTTCCTGCTTCATTTTTGTCATGCAGCTCTGCCTGCCCAGCTAACTGAGTGATAAAAACTCAGACAAAAGATCAGATTCTAATTACCAGTGGTATGAGGCATAAAAAACGGTGCTTTATCACAAAATTGTGCATTCTATTGCATCATGAATTAGAAAATAAGTGTTTGCAGAAAGGAGATTTGGTAAATGTTCCTTGTAGTGAAAAATCATTGCCTTTCATGTGYTCACCTCAGCAAAGTATAAACACTGACATTCAGGCAGCTCTCAGTGATAGCCACTGAGGGATAAACTGGCTCCAAGTCAGTCTGTAATTCTGTGAGTAAAGCTGGAAAAAAAAACAATGCAAGGTGAAACAACCCATCCATTCTTTAACAAATGACTCTGAAATTAGCCATTTTTCCCATTGTGTTATTACACGTGCATAATAAACCAGGTGAAGGTTCCCTCTAACTTTCACACTTTGCAGTAGTGTTTAAGTTCATGATAGAAACTGCAGCAAGAAGAAACACGAGCACTGAAGGGCTTCAACAGCTTCCAACCAGCATCTTTTCTACCTTTCTAACTGGGGGTGGTTCCACACTTTGAACTGCTCAGCAACAACTACAGAGAACAGGGATGACCAGTCTGTTTKTGCATTATTTGTCCATCATGCTGAGGATCCATTTCATGAGTTGATTCTGATTTGTGTTCCCTCGGAGTTGCTGTTTYGATCCCATCTAAAACAGGAACAATCTCACTGGAACAAGGTTTGTTTTTCACAATAGAGACATCTTGGAATGATTTCAGGGCAACTTTGAAAAAAAATAAATATTGAGATGATTAATCAGAAAGACAAGCAAATACTTCAATAAATTTAACAAATATGAAGTTTAATTTAGTGGAGAAAATGCTGCCAATATGTAAGAACAGCACATCTTTTATCTTACACTTGGGGAATGAAGATATCTTCTGTTGAATATTACATTACAAGCCATGTTACTGAGTTTGGTATTCTCATCAGAGGAAAACTAAGCATTATTTAACTGGAAATTTAATTATCATAYGCATCCTTTTTTTAATTATTAGCAACAGCAAATCATTGACAGCCCCAGTCTCACAAGTCATCATTGGCAAAACCACACTGAGGATCCCACAGGCCCCTTCAAATTGTGCAAGAAGTGGACAGTGGTATATAAATCCTTGCAAATGTCAGTTTTGGGGAAAGAACCTTTTGAAAAAAAGCAGATATTTCTAGGTTTTGTGTAAGCCAATTAATGAACTGAATATTTGCATGAACAACATCTGAAGACACATTATCATAACTCTAGAAAATCAAGATTTCAGATGAATGTATTTACAAGATATCAAAAAGAAATCATTTGCTTGTAGGAAAACATTAATAAACAGCAAAATCTAATTACTGCAAAAACATAAACACTGCAGCTGTAACACTTTTCTCTAACCATACCATTACAGCCTCACCAGTGAAAACAGAAGTGTCAATGCTAATGTAAACTCAGCTGCTGATATATATTCATTAGATTCAGAAAAGCTCCAACATTTCTTCTTGCTATGTCAAATTTTCTCTCAGTGCAGCTACGATCTAGACCGAAAGGTTTAAGGGCACCTAGGCCTAAGATCTATCTAGGTCTACACCTAGGCCTAARGTCTATCTCCATTCATGTCTCTCACTCAACAAAAATCATCTGAAAGCATTGTTGAGAAGGGATTTTAGGAACTCAATTGCAGGAGCAGAAAAGAGCCCAGAATGGCACCTGTGCAATGACCCAACTCACAWGACAAGAACTTCTGACACACAATAAAGCCTACTCTGAAGCATTCTTCCATTATTAGCTTCGCTGTGAAACAGTAATTAAGCAGCAGGGAAGATTCASTGCCTTAGACTTTCAGTCTTGATTCTAATTTACATGATTGAATTCTAACTTAGTCACTGATTACCTTCTGGCTTAACACGCTTCAGGTTCTCATGGATTTTATTTTTGCCTTTGCTTCCTTTTCTGGGTGTAGCAGTTTTTGCCCTCACCAATCCACAGCTCGCAGCATGCTTACACATATTACTCTGTTAACATAATGAAGGACAAATATATCAATCAAATATTAATCTATGTAAGCCATTTAACACACACAAAGCAAATATGATTCTAACAGACAAATTTTGGAACACTAAGTGGAAGACTGACTTAGTTAACAACTTCCATAAAACTGCTGAAGGTTTTCCAGTATATGATTTAAAGTTCTGCTTAAAAAAAAAAGTTGCCATTTGGTGGGTATAAAATAAAATTCATCATTTTTTGGTCCCTGGATAAGCAATAAAGTTTTACATGTAAAATCTGYATGTGGGAAAAGGGTCACATTTACTTTAAAGTGTGCACAGTAAACCCAAYATGAGAATATATTCTCATTGCATATGGTTTTGAAGTGAATATCAGTTTCTCACTTTCCTTGCTGAACTGGTCTAGCAATCCTAAATRTACTCTTTAAAAGAAAAATTTTAGTTCAGACTGAATTTATTCTGCATCACCACTGAAATTCACATTTCAGGCTCGAATGCTACATTTTGCTCTTTATCACAACATCCCTGACAGTGATTGCTCTTACTTTATGCTTTTAAGTAGTGCATCTACAAAAGATTTATCAGAAGATAATCTCATAATTTCCAGCATTTCAGTTTCACCCTTTATTTGTGAATGRTCWATCTGGGAAATAAGCACCACTACASTCTTCTAGTTGGACTGCAGTCACAAAAGTTTTTGGTTTTTTTTAAGGTAAATATAACCCCAAAGCCAACTATACCTTGCAAAACCATCAACAGAGCACACAGTATTTTCTCAGGGAACTGAAATACCTGGTTACACGAGCAGGTGCACTGAGCACATTTGAATCTTTTCTCATTTCTGTGAGTCTTCCTGTGCTGAAGGAAAGCGTAGTGCTCGTGAAAAGCTGCTTCACAGTCCCGGCACTTCACTGCCTCTTCCATGTAGGAGTGAAGATTCCTCAAGTGRACACCTGAGCAGTTATGTAAAACAATTCATTTTAATGGCAACATTTTTTTTTTTTATTTCCACAATTCTGAACAGGAGTTGGGCTGTGTATAGCCCTGAGTAATGCAAACCTTGTCAAGGACAGCACTGAAGAATCCTCTGTGCTGTCTGCAGTAGGGGTAAAACAGACAAATTAGTTTAAAATTAAACTAAAGTGGTGGCAAGGTGTTGTAACTTTCCAAAGAAATCAAGTAGTTATAAGCCTGAATCTTATTGATTTCAGTGGAAATCATCTAACAAATCAAATACTTAGAAAAAAATCCAGTTTTAATATTGCTTGTTCAYGTATTTCTGGAAACTTAATGTTTCATGTAGGTTCTGTTGTTAGTGGTCAGCTCTATTGCCTCCAACACTTCTGGAAAAAGAAGGTCACAGAGCCACAGGTATCAAGCAAATTAAAAAAAAGAAAAAGCCAAATCTGTGCTACTTTGCATTTTAAACAAATTAAAACATCAACCACAAGATGTCACCACATCTCCTTGCAGGAGGAGCTTACCTGTAAAACAATGAATACATTTTACTTTCAATATTCTGTGATTATATGGAGTCAGCTATAACATATTTGGTGAAATTTTATGAAAATTAGAGATTTCACCTCTACTTATCTCCACATTYCATTTTCAGTGTTTTCCTTTAAACTCACCCAGATCACTTTTTCGGGACAGAAAGGTACTRCAATGAGGACACTGGTATTTTGGCACATTTTCTCCATGTTTCTGTAACATATGGATTTTCATGGTACCACTTTGAGTGAATCTGGTTTGGCAAACGTAACATTCATAGCGTTTTTCACCTATTAAAAAGAAATTAAAATGGCATTTGCTTAGAAACTCTGCTTATTTGATACAAACACAAATTCCCACAGAACTCAACATCCATGTTCTAACAGCAACAGTCTCCAGACCAGCCAAAAGTTAATATTAGTTGACAGTGCACAAAAGACTAAACAAGTTTCCAGAAGTTTACATAACTGATTGCAACASAAAATCTTGGCTTTGAGTCCACAAGTCCAACTGATGAAGCATAAAGGCATTCATATAATTCTAAACTATTAATCAGAAATTATTTTAATTAACATCTATTCTGCTTTGAGTACTTCATGTACAAAAATGCAGAATTATCCTCAAATATGCAAGGAGAGAGTCAACAGCTGTAGAACATCATGATGAAAGTGATACACTGCCAGCCATTGGTAATGGTGGGGAGATTAGGAAACTATTTTCTTTCCTTTYTTCCCCAAAAAGCAACATCAGGTGTGACTATCATTAAAAATCACATCAACACTGGCCACTGGCACAGATTTGAACCAGCTTCAGACTGGTTCTGTGGAACAAGTCCCTGCCAGTATTTGGTAACACTCTTGAACTCTTCCAGTTGAACTCTTGTGGTTGACCCTCATAAAAAAATAACTCAGTTTAATTGCACCAAACTGTCTCAAGATATGAACCAATGTGTGCTAAGTGGGGATATCTGGAAAATTTTACTTCAGCCATGCTGTCACACTCTGATTCAACCTAAAACATTAATCACAACACATATTACACATCATAATTGAGCCAAGTTAAACCATGAAGTACAGGATTGATACCCACTGCCCTGTGAGATGATTTACAGGTTACAAAGCTATGACAGGAACACAGTGCTTTCAGTGTTAAAGCAATTTAATTCTTTGTTGACCAAATTAGTTGCTGGMAATCTGAGGTCACAACAATATCCATGTTCTGAACTGATATTTAAAAATCTCTTGCCAGATACATCTCCACACAGCATCATCTAATTGAGAAATGAAAGTGAAAACTTGACCCATAGGAAACAAAATATTTTTCTAATATAAAAGAGGTTTAGGAAGAACAGCAAGACTAACTACTAGCACTGCTAGGCTTCCAATAGCCAAATCCAGAACAYTGAAAGAGAACATGTTTTTCAGGCCTGTTTTTATTCAAAATCACCAATTAAAAAGGGCTAATTTTGAGCTGAAATTAGATCACTCCAATCCAATGAATATTAAGGACCAGAGGCCCTAGACTTGATCCTAACCCCAGGGTTTTACCTGTGTGGGTTAACTTGTGCCTTTTCAGTTTATAGGCATCTTTGCTTGCATAGCTGCACAGGTCGCAGGGGTAGGGCCGCTCTCCCGTGTGTGAGCGGACGTGTCGCCTCATTTTGCTGGCCTAAGATAAAAATAAGAGATTTTCTAAAGCAACATCTACATTAGAGACTGAATTAATTAAAATACAAGCAATTTTACATACCACACCTATGGCAGTTTAAAATACTGAATTAGCACTCTCACATCCATGTTTTTCCCTGTACAATTAGCATGTTGTGGTTTTAGGTAACACCTCCACACTCTTTCCTCAGATTATTTTAGTTCCATATTTAATGTCCACATTAGCAAAAGGAGAAATTTTATAATAGGAACATAAAATACAGAATTTTAAAAAGAGGATAGCTACTACTACCAGGCTTCTTAGATATGCCAAACAGAAAATTGTTTGAAAACAGTCAGGAAAATAAATGAAAGGGTGATGGGGATAAAATTCCATGCACACAAATGAAATGAAATGAAAAATGAAATGAAATAATGAAATGAAATGAAATGAAATGAAATGAAATGAAATGAAATGAAATGAAATGAAATGCATGGCACCACAAAGTTGTAGCCATCAACCACCTCACAGTAACACTGTAGCAACATAACAGATTAAACACAATCCATCAGTGAGTCCAAGGCCGTCAGCAAAGCCTGGACTTCTCAAGGTTAAAAATCTAGGCAAAAATTCTGTGTACATTAAAATCTTGGCACGTGAAAGCCTTCAAACCCTCCCAAAAGATCAGTAAAGCTGTACTTACYTCGACACTGGAGTATTCACATACTGTGCACTTGAAAGGCTTCTCTAAAGTGTGTTTGTACCTCCTGTGTCGTGCAAGCTCCCCYCGGGTCACAAAGGCTGTGTCACACTCACTGCATTTATGGGGTTTGTTCCCTGCAAGAATACACCATTAGAATTTTATTTAACACCACAGCAATGTGATTTATCTGCCTTAAATCAACATGCAGAGTTTTTAAAATGAACCTTTTCTGATATTCTGKTTTTTTATAGACAATATATCATATGATGGTTTGGGTCAGAAGGGACCTTAAAGCTCATTTTGTTCCACCCATTCCTATCCCTCCAAGCTCTGTCCAACCTGGCCTTGGCCTTTTCCAGGGATGGGGCATCCACAGCTTCTCTGGGCAACCTGTTCCAGTGCCTTGCCACCCTCCCAGTAAAGAGTTTCTTCCATATATATTTATACCATAACTTTATTTTAAATATTTTGCTTCATATGTTTATACAGCAAAATGAAAACATCACAAAAAATTCTATTCTGCATGTAGGAATGAAGCATAACTGAAGTCRCTGTTCAGTTGACAAGAATTGTTAGAATGGTATTCAACAAAATAAAAAAATACACACACACACAGAGTTCCTCACTACAGACCACATCTTTTCCATGTGGAGCGCCAAAGAAAATCAGAGAAACTTGTGAACAAAATGATCACAGAACACAGCTCAAGGCAAAGTCATTTGCCTGTTAATTCAATTTTGAAGACAGTATGTAAAATTATGTATTTTCCAGCATCAGGTACCTGTATGTGTGTTCACGTGGTTGTGCAGCAGAGTTGCTGTACGGAAGGCCTTAGGGCAGAGGTGACACACGTGATGTTTCTCATCAGAATGGGTTTTCAAATGAYGCCTAAGACTTGATAATTTGACTGAGGTGAATGTGCAGAAGAAACAGCTGAAACGTTCTTTTCCTCCTGCTGGAACAAGGATACATTTACACTGTATACACCACAAAATACTAAAAAATATTATCAATTTCTCGAGTCCCTCTAGTCTGGATAAAATGGTTTCAAAATTCTACATCAAAGGACTTCATTAAGACTTAAGTGATTTGCCCCCCAAACTGGTTTTTTTGTTAGTGATACAGTTTAAAATCTAACCCCAGGAAACCTAACTCGACCCTAGCTCTCACCTCCAAGACAGGATGAGATTTCCTCTCTCAGTATCATCATTAAGACTTACAACCTGTGCAACAAACTTCTTGATAACAACTGAGTAATTAGCACTAAGTTTATTCAAAGATTTGGAAATGGCAGGTTAAGCTATTCCCAGCTTTCTGGTACTCCTGAATCTGTAAAGTGTACATAAAAAAATCATGATTTAAAAGCCTCTTTATAATTACTGGTTGAATTTGAGGGGGAAAAAACAGCTCTTTGAAGAAGTCATAGAACAAAGTTGGTGGCACAACAGTAAAGAATTTCTTTTGAGAGTAACAAGTTAAGATTAAATGTGCAATCCTTTCAGTTATGAACATTTGAAACTGTGAAAAGGCAAATACGTCATATTTGAAGAGTCTTTCCAGAACAGTTGTCTCAACTCCCAAGTGTGCTCTCTGTAATATTTTCATGCTGAGACTAAAATGCATTTTATACAATGCTTTATACCACACAGAGATGTGCAGATAACACTTCACTTCAGTAACAGCAAACAAAACCGCTTTATTGTCATYTATTCGTTGTGGATTCATGCCCACACAAAGGATCATTGTTAGCTTTGTTAAAGCTGCTCAAATGTGCTTCCTATAAAGGCTGTAACTAAAACAGGGGACGTTAACAATTTGTGCAGTATCCATARAGAACCTCAGCCAAGATACCTTAACATCCAGATACAACACACGCATTCACAGACTCAACATCCTTGATGTCATCCAATTTTTASAGTACACACACGCAGTTTCTAGGGAAACAGATGCTTATCTGTTCTCTTCTGAGTCAGTTCTTAACTTCTGTAACATACTTTTAGSTTTCTAAAACCTTAAATCAGCCATTTTCTGTTACTTTCATTAGGTTCTGGGAGAGGCTTTGTTGACAGAAATTGATTGATACTTGCCCACCACCCTCTGCTGGCAACCTGGAACCACTSTAAGCTTAACCATAAACCTTCAAACAAGCACATTTTGAAGTTGAATGAGTGAATCAAGAGACTAAATAAATTACTAGGTTTATTCAAAGGCATTTATGCAATATTAACTTTGAAATCTCCCTGGAGGTTTCAAATACCACACACTATTCAAAAGATCATTAATTTCTAAACACCATCCAAAATGTCTCTTCTGAAAACAAGGCAGACGACATCAGCCTGAATAAGATCTTCCAGCAGGGCTGAAAGGTATTTCTTCTTCTTCAGAATTTCACAGAATGTTAGGACTTAACCTAATCTAAACAATTACCACTGAGTATTTAATGTAAAATTTCAACCTCAGTTCAGAATCTCACTTAACACACATTATCTAAAAATGAACTACAAATCTTTTTACCTTTTTTTTGTTGTGGAGCACAGGCCTCAAATTTTAGATTCTTGAGATTTCTTACAACTGTTTGTTCTGATGCAGTTGGATATTCCTGCTCTTTACTTTCACTGAACAGCTCTGACAAATCCACACCCTCTTTGCAGCTCTGACTCTTTGTTTCCCCAACAGTGGAAAAAACTTCCTTTCCTTCCTCCTCTTCAGATGGGCTCAGTTGCTGGATGTTGTTTTCAAATGCAATGGCACCATTATCTCTGTCAATCTATTTAAAAGCAGAATATGTTTTACAACTTTCTCAATCAAAGGCAGTCGCTAGTGGCAAATCAACTGAGCAGTCAACAAGATGCAAGCTATCAATTCATTCTGATTTTCAGTCTTACATGTGATGGACAAAACTGCAACAAAAAATTTGCATTTAGCATACAGCATTCTAACTGGGATGTGAACAATTGTGCCCTACCTCCTCGAAATTTTATATAAAATTTCAGARCATCATTTTAAGATTGCAKCACTATGAACACAGAAACCTGTATYCTTATGTTTTTAAAGAAAATATTTCAAATTTAATTTCAGTACATTTACCTTTTAAAAGAAAATGAGAAGTATGCTCAGTTTTTTATACAAATTTAGGACTTCTGCAGATTAATTGCAATGCCTCCTTTGTCATATAGCAATTAACCAGGTTGTTATACTTCTTGCAATAGTTAAACTTAAATATGACCTACCTCAGAAATTACCTAGTGGTGCATAAATTTTGCAAGAAAAAAAGGTATTTTATTGTAAAACCAATATAATAGCTAGCACAGAACAAACAACAGTGTTTGCATGTCCTTTTTTAATAAAATTAAATTCAAATGGGACTTTATTACACACCCAGTTTAACAACTGCAGTATTGAACTAATTCAATTAAGGAGAAGGGAAATTGTGTAATGCCACYTAAGAGATCAAGTCTGTCAAACAAATAGTACTAGACTGGTGAACTGAATTAAAAACTTGTCTGAATTTCAGAATTTAAATATTACCTCAATGTCATCTCAGTAATCTGGGTCTCTTCCAACTCAGAATATTATGTGAATCCACAAAGCTTTAGTTTGTCATTTTAACAATGGGATGAGATGATATAAAGATGTACAAAGGATGGGACACTTAAGCCCAACAAATTTAAATAAATAATACTGACTAATACTTAAGTCAGAACCAAAGCAGTGTGATGGTACAAGCTAACAGCGAACAACGAACTTTTACTTTCACCTTATCCACAATTTGTACCTCCATCAGGAGCGTGTCTGGCAGTTTCTCTGTTGCCTTGCTTTCCGCACTCTTTTCTTGCCCTTCTTCTTGCAAAACATGGATCTGCGCCAGCTCCAGGTCATAGAAGAGGCAGACACCCTCGCGCAGGGTCAGAGCCATGGCGGGGGCCCGTAGCACACCACGGCCTGGTGGTGCTCTGCCGGCTCCTCCAGTCTTGGTCCCCTCCAAACACCGAGTGTGGGGTCGGTGTTTGTCACCCCACAATGGGGGACGCGTGTCCCGTCGGCACCGTGGTCACCACCAGCTCTGCTCCTCTGCTCCGTTCGGGTCAGCCTGGCCACATCACCCTTTTCGTGGCGGCCTTGGCTGTCCTGCAGGGAGGACAAACCACGGGGGTTCAGGACCAGCCCGGCCCTGCCTCATCCCACAGCCCCAAACCCTCACCAGCCCTCGCCCTCAGTGCCCGCTGCTCCTCACCCAGGGCTCACGGCTGTGGGGATGGTGCCATGGCGCCCCAAGGCCCCTCATGGCTGTGGGGATGGGGCCATGGCACCCGCTGCTCCTCACTCTGGGCTCTGCGGCCCCACGGTCCCTCACGGCTGTGGGGATGGTGCCATGGCGCCCGCTGTTCCTCACCCAGGGCTCCTTCGTCCCAAGGCCCCTCATGGCTGCAGGGATGGGGCCATGGCACCCACTGCTCCTCATCCAGGGCTGTTCTGCCCCAAGGCCCCTCATGGCTGCAGGGATGGTGCCATGGCGCCCACTGCTCCTCACTTTGGGCTGCTCCGCCCCAAGGCTCCTCACAGTGTGGGGATGGTGCCATGGTACCTGCTGCTCCTCACTTTGGGCTCCACTGTCCCAAGGTCCCTCACGGCTGCGGGGATGGTGCCATGGCACCCGCTGTTCCTCATCCAGGGCTGCTCTGCCCCAAGGCTCCTCACGGCTGCGGGGATGGTGCCATGGCACCCGCTGTTCCTAATCCAGGGCTCCACTGCCCCAAGGCCCCTCACGGCTGTGGGGGCGGTGCCATGGCATCCACTGCTCCTCCCCCAGGACTCCACTGCCCCAAGGTCCCTCATGGCTGCGGGGATGGTGCCATGGCACCTGCTGCTCCTCACTCTGGGCTCTGCTGCCCCAAGGCTCCTCACGGCTGTGGGGATGGTGCCATGGCCGCCCCTCAAGGGGAGGCAGCAGGACCAGGACTCAGTACCCTCCGCGCACCTCGGCATGGCCGCCCTGGGCCTCCCTTTGCTGCTCCCTCAGCAGTGGCGGGACACAGAGCCCACTCACGGGTAGCAGCTTGCGGGAAGCAGCTGTTTTCACCTGTTCATTCCCCACRAAACACAAAGCCCTGAGCCCGCAGAGGTTTCCCTCCAAAGCAATGGGTGTCCGGTGTTCCTTGGTCCACGCTCACAGCAGCTGCCATTTTCTCACCCTCTGTGCAAAAATAAAGATCTCTCAGCCATCATTGTAGGCCTTCAACCTTCTGGCTGGAGACCACAGGGCTGAGCTCGGTTGGTTTCTGCACTTGTGGAATATCTGCAGCATTTCCCATGTTTCTGCGACAGAAAGCCTCCAGCCGGGAGCTGTGCACCAGAGTGCTGCTTGAAGGGCTGCTGGATGCTGCTGCGACAGAAGTGTTGTACAAAATTGGCTCAAGTGGCTTTGCAGAGGCAGTGGAGTGATATCTCAGCATCATTACACCRTATTTTAGGCCAGGATTGGTTATTCAATGAGAACAAGTTGAAAGACTTCCCCAAAAGGCATTGTGAAAATGTCTTTGAGGTAAACTTGCACAATTTGAGCAATTTAATATTTAATCTCGTGTACCCTTCTAGACTAGTAATTTCCAGCCATCAAACATCTTATAAAACCCACTTACTATGAATGCTCTATTATAYACTAGTGCAGAGGGCAGATTTGGAGCTTTAGCTCTAAAGATTAGTTCGGTGCTTTGCAGGGTACAGCACATTGCACAGGGACTGCAGCCCAGTGTGGTCCAGATCCTGTTAAACTGAATTACTGAACACTAATCAAAGCCCCAAAGTAAGTGGTGGTTTTCCTTGTCTGTGGAAATAACCCAGTAAAACTGGCATTTGTGAAATATCCGTAGCACAAACAGCAGCCCACACCACTGACATTCAAGCTGTACCCTCAGATGAGGTGTGGTTATGGCACCTTATCCTCAGAGACAGCAACTGAAAATCCCATCAATACCCTTGAAAACAACCACTCCTATCCACCATTCTGTAAAATCTTAAATGCAAAAATAATACATTTTTACATTTAACAACTGCAAGTTAGTCATAACTATTCTGCTCCTTGGAATCAACACAAATCCAAAGCAATTATTTAAGGTTGAGTACTTATTYCAGCAATTTAGAGCTGATAGTTTGGTTAGACACCACACTATTCATCATCCACGAATCCACGAGCTCTCAAAACTAAAGAACAGGATGCAGAGCACACAATATATTCACATAATTAGGCTGCCAGTAACTGTGGCCAGAAATTTTACTTCTTRCACATCTCCAAATCTTTTCAAGTTGCTATGAATCCTGTGCAATTATGATAGTTGAAGGGTACTGTAGGAAAAAGTTGTTRTAATAACAGACCATCCTTTACGTTATTTTAATGAGGTTTTCTGCACTTCAACAGTCATCAGCTTCTAAGAGCTGTCCTGCCTCACACTTCTGCATTATTAATACCAGCASCATCCATGCAGCTACAGTAAAGGTCTGTCATTATTTCTGTTATTAACCAGTATTTYCAAAGATTTATCACTCACATGCAGAATAGCCCTTCAGTTCATGTTTTTTGCGGAATTTAAAGGAACCACTTGGATCAGCAATCTACGAATTCAACCATTTTCCGAGTAGGTTTTGACACATTAGAGGTTAACAACTCCATAATGGCCATTATGGTGCGTTGTGTGTACAGTCTCCAGTTACTGCTGCTGCATCGTCTATCTATCTCTAGCTGCAATCAAGCTTCTACCCACTCCTCTGGGAGTCTGCTTCTTTCTAACACATCAACAGCCCGCATGAAAAGTCTGTCACAAAAGAATAGAGGGCCATTTTATATTTTAAGTCATAATTATACTTCGGGGGGTAACCGTTCAATATGAATTATTGTTTGTTAGGAGTATTTTATAAGGAGCATAAGGAATTTAATGTAGGCACATTTTCTTGTGCTAAAGTAATGTTATATAAAGAAACCAAATTCAGCCGCAAAATTGCAGATAAATTGCTGATAAGAATCTACCAGTGCATGAAAGTGAATACATGGACAACTAAAATCCTCAATCAGCAGAGTAAATTCTACCCTTGGCTGCACTAAGRAAACACAGCAAACTTTGTCCTGATCTGTGGTTTTCCACCCAAGTATAAACAGTGCAGCTAATTTTTAAAAGAAAGCAAAATACTGGGCTATCTGTTTAGATAGTCTGTCTTAAATCTGAATAATGTCTTTTATAATATTTAATGCATGTTAGGTGGACCTGACTTTTTAAAAAGCTTCATTACCATGTACATAGAGCATCTTTGACCTTGAATGTAGTTCAAGGCTTGCTTCCCTTACTGTGTTTCAGAAACTCACTTTGGACAACTGCAGAGGCTGTTTATCCAGCCTCTAWGGTGATGCTTTGCACCTCCATCACAGGTTCTAAACTGCAGTACTCCGATGCCAATGGAAGGATTGCCATCAGTTTAACTGGGCTTGGAATTAGGCCCAGAACAGATAACTCTGTGAAGCAGTGACAGTGGGATTTATTTACACATTTTTGACCTGTCCACAAAACGTAGAGTAAATCAGGACTGCCGCAGTGCACTTAAAAGTGAAAAAAAAAAGGAGAAAGAGACCAAAACAAAAACCTCAAAAAAAGTAGGCTCAAATTTAACCTCCAATGCTCATAATTGTTTCATTTATGACACTTCGTCTTGTAGTTGAAACCTCCATTCTTCTCCAGAACATGACTCCTGTTAGTCTATGAGAAAACCCAGTCTTTGTTGTGACTTATTTTGACAGMTTTAATATCATTTTCCACCTGGCATCTGGAAAGTTTTCCCTTTTCACTTTCCACCAATGTCTCACTTTTGTTTCCAAGTATGTGTCGTGTTCACACCGCACCTGTCAGTTGTGTGTATGCTTCAGCACTGGGCTGCAAACATACACACCTCCCCTTTGCTCCCACCCCAGGGACAATCATACCTTCAGCACCTCTTTTGCAGTGAGATATTGCCCCTCTTAATAATGACAGCACCAGATAACCTCCTTCACACCATCACCTGCTTCAGAGGAAGTGAGTATACATTTACAGCCTTCTAATTCATCTGGCTCCTTCAAATGTTGCTCAGGTCTTGAAGCTGTCACTAAATGGTTGGAATTTCTTTGCTGTATTTTCTGGTGCTYCTTGCTCCTTTGGTGTCCCACTTTCACAAATATGAAGCATTTCTTCAGAGACCACCAAAAACCTTCATTAAAAAAAAAGAAAAGCATGTCAGCTAATGAGTGAGATAAAATTTTACATTCTTTTTGATGCTGTTCTAAGCAACTGAAACTTGCAGATTCAGAGTTAAGTCAGTGCTTCAGAGCTGGCCTGGAATATTCTCAGGAGAAAATATACAGTTTGATCACTTGGAAAKAAGAATATTATTAACTTTTTTCCCCCACCAGACCTCTGGTTCTGAAATGGAAGATACAGTTTATTTTAGCAGACATTTAGGATTCAGATCTGACTCGGATTTCTTGCCTGCCCCACAGAACACAATTCTCTGCTCCCTACTGCTACAATCATATAAAAGCTAGGCAGACCTCAGACCCAGGAACATCAGAACATACAGTCCTACTTGTTTCCTTACTGAATCCCCAAAGCAGAGGGAAGATGGGAGCACAGCAAAGCAAAGCCAGATGGAAATCGTGCTGGAGGGTATTGATTGACTAGTGTCTAGGCAGGCTATAAATTGCCACCTCTCATGCAAAGAGGAGAGTGAGCAGAGCTATCTCAGGGCACAGTGCTTGGACTGCGCTGTTCCTGCAGGATCAGCTAAATTCGGGTTGTGCCTAAGGCACAGGCAAAGCCAGGCTTTGCTCTCTCTCCATGCTCATCTTGACTTTGAGTAGAACAAATCATATCTTTAAATACGAGTGATTCTTGCAGCAGAACAAAAGCAACTTCTATTAAGTTAAAAGACTTAATGCTTTCAAGTGCTGTCTATGCTCTTAAAATCATGCTCCATACTGTAAATGATTATAATTATATAGCATGACAAAAAACAAGACATAATAGTGTACAGATGTGGGATATATAAAAGGGGAAGTTTTTAACATAAGCTTATTGGAGCTGAAAGTACCAGGGATGATTGATTGCTTAGACACAAGTCAGGGAAGTGGTCTAAAAATTATTAACCATAATTGCAATTTGTCTATTAACTGTTTCRTCTAACATTATGATATATTTAGAAACAATCCTGCCACCCAGTAATGCACAGTTTGCTGCTTGCAGCAAACAGCAGAGCGSCGTGCCTGGATCCATTTGGAACAARGATGTTGATTTGGAAGTGTGTAACTTCTTCCATTTCAAAAGACATTAGCATGGTTATACAGTTAACTACACCTCAGTGACTTCCACTGTTTTTACAGAATACTCTTTAATCCGAGAGATAGCAAAGAAAGTTTTAAATACAACTCCCCTTAGTTAGTTATTACCGGTTTCTGTTGCTGTTTGTGCAAGGGTCGAAGAGCTAAAAGTTGAAAAGGCAGAACGATTTCCTCTTGTTTTGACTAAACTGGGGGAAACGTGCTGGAGCTATGCAGAATTTGATTGCCAAACACAGAGAGAGAAGATACACAGTGAGAAAAGATAGTAAAGGTTTAACCCAGCTGATGTAAGAAACAAACTCCAAGGATGCCCATGTTTCCTTCCTTTATCRCACTGTTAATCTTTAATCGGGAAAACAGTTCTGAGAACAGCTCTTTGTGCACAGCTGAACAGACACCAAAACTTGAAAGTTAATAAGATCACTGAAGAATGAGACAATTAAATGATTGTCCTAATAAATCTGTGAGAGATGTACAGCCCAAAGGAGTTCAAATTCTGCTTCCACGTGGATGTGCAGCAAGTACACCTTAAACCTTGCAAAATCAGCAGTAAGGAGGTGGTTGGTGAGTTCAGAAGAGCAGCGGGTTCCTGTTCCAGCACTTTTTTCCAGCTCAGATAACAAATCGTCTTGGGCGTTAAACTTTCTGAGGAGTCCGAATCAAGCTTCTTAGTTCAAAAATCTAAAGAAAAAAATTAAGATTAAGGGAACATTTAATAACTTGTGTATTAATGTCGCTTCATTGTAGAGCAGGTGATGTAGTCTGTGATGTTTATCAGCAGAGATACCTTAAATCTTAGTCTGCTCYACTGCTACAATGTTGAATCATCACTTAAAGACCATGACCAGATAGACCCATGCCTCTCCAGCAGGAACTGGTAATGGAAATATGGTATAGCAGGCTTAGTTGTACACCTTTTCTGCTCCTGTAAGAAGAAACAAAGTCAGCCTTACAGTCCTTGTAATCTTAAACACCAAGAYGAGGCAGTGTCTGGAAAGCAAATGACAATAGCTGGGTGACAGGTTTTGTGAATCATGGTTATTACTCTGTTCAGAGCTGTCTCTACAAACTGAAAGTCTCTTGATCTGTCATTCACACCCATCTTTTGTTTAAGATCTTCTGGGCAGAGCACATTTGTGCTTCACCCAAAATAACAAGGTACTGCCTTACTGCAGAGCAAATACGTGAAGTCTACAAGGTTAACAAAAACATGGGATTTTTAATTTTATTTGCAGAATGCAAACTGGTTGGTTCATTTATACATACTGGTTGAAGCACACATAAAAGAAACTTTTCTTTACATGAACAGTATTCATATGCATATATATTATCCTGAACCAGTAAATTTGGAGACAATTACAGATGGTCAGTCAGAGACGCATGTACAGCAGAGTCAGAATTCTGTCTTTCTAAATGCATAAGAAAAAAAAGGGATGATCTCCAGGGTCCAGTCAAACTCCTGATACCTTTACTGAGTGCTATTTCTAGAAATAATCAAAATTGTGGCATTTGTCTGGTAGGAACCATCTACACTGACCAAACAAAAGTGCTTTCACATTGAAAAAATCCCATTGTGGTCCACTGATGTTGCTGTACCCCTGCTAGAATGGTGYTAAGCATAAGTGTACAGTATGTAGGATTTTACCTGACCTGTTAACACTTACATAAGAGTATTCCAGTAAACAGAGGAGCCGTTACAGGGATTATTGGTTTTTGTGCAATGTTGATTTTCCTCCAGCTGCCAGGTTCAAGAACCAAAAGGTATGTAGTGCTTGACATAGGCACATTTGCTTTCTGACCTTTAGATGTAGCTTGGCTTTCATTTCTGCATAATCAGCTTTTCTATCCTGTTGTTTRGCTTTTAGTGTTATAAAATGCTTGAAATATTTATCAAAGCTATTTTCCTGGGGAAAAATGCATAGAACAAATCTCACTTGAAACAAAAAACAGAGTTCAGCCCAAGTTGCTGCTTTTGTGTTGCTGTTGAAGGAGAAAACAAGTTACAGTAAATGTTTTTCATTTCAACTAAAAACTCACTATTTTCATTACAGTAACCTAGAGAGGACCCAGCAGGGACTATCTGTGGCACAGACAAAAATGAGAAGAGATAATGATCATGTCTAATAAGGTTTTAAACTCCTCTAGCTGGGAATTATCAACCAAACTAGGAGAACACATAAGAACAGAGAGCAATTGGCATTATCACCTCCCAACCCCCTTAAAAGAGGATGATACAGGCTTAGGGATGTAGTCACACGTCCAAACTCAAATGGGAAATCCATAGCAGAGGAAGAAACAGAACCTAACTCTCAGAATATGCCTTACAGGTTAAAGTCATCTTTCTTCAAAGGAGTTGGCTCAAGGAGGATGTAGAGCTGTGACCAGTGGGTCAGACTGCGTGTAACAAAGGGCTGAAATGTTGAGGGAGAACAAAAGTACATGGGAGATTGAAAGGAAAGAGAAAAAGCACATGACACAGGTAGAGCTGGATGACCATGAAGGGACAACTGCCAAYAGAGTGCTGCTAGAAAGCAAAGCACTGCAGAGAAATAACAAACAGCGTGCAAGTGGAAGGAGCAAGGGGAACCAGGGGTRTCTCATCCTAGAAAAAATAAACAAATATAGATTATGAAAGGATGCTTCAATGCCATTTCTTTAGGCCTGAGAAGGTGAGGTTTCTGCAAAAGGGCACAGCTAGCAGGACACCAGTCATCCACAGGAACCCAGAAACTCTTGAACRAGAGATGCTTGAACCCATGTGCAAGGATTTGTCTGTTCCCCTCTCCCCAGCCAGGAATCAGGGCTTGACAGCTTTAAACACACAGCTCTGTGGTAAAGAGATTTCACTCCAGCAAGGGTAACCATTCTTATTTGCAAACTGAATCTCAGAGCCATCTGGGCTTTGTGTGACTGAGCAGAGCAGATGCTGAAAGGTAAAGGGAAATGCAAACCTTATGCTGTTTTTCATTCTGCTTAGCATGGTTTGTTCCCTTCTCTCCTTCTGTGATTCTGTTGTTCATCCAGCAAAAAAAAAACCTGAAGTAATCATGCAAAAGTCATAATGCTCATGTGGCTAGGGTACAGTCAGTCAAAATCTTGTGGGCCCACACTCTCCACATGACTATGAGACCCTGAGCAGTAGATGAGAAGAGCTCCTAAGCTAACAGGATCACACATCCTGATCAGGTACCAGTGGCAACAGCCCATTACTCATATTCACACTKATCCTTGACAGGAGTGTTTTAAAARAAAGGACAGTATTCCTTCAGGGCAGAATTGCCATATTAGTCACAAGAAATGGCTCCAGAAGAGCATCAAAGTTAAAATTACATGAATCAATCCCATCTCCAGAGCTGAGCCTGCAAAAGTGAGCTTAAAAATTCAGTAATAATAATAACAATGACAATTATTTTATCTGCCAAGGCAGAAGAACAACAAGCAAGAAACCAGAGTGCCCTTGGTGTAATGTGAGCCTTGGCACATACTGTGGCACAGCAAGGACTTCCCCTAAAACACAGCTCAGCATTGAGCACTTGAGCTGATACTGAACTAAGCATCAAARGTTGGTGCCTTTCTTTGGAGACCTTAAACATGCATCTGTGCATTTTCCTAGCTCCTAAAATTTGCTTCCATTTGTTTTGAGAAACGTCTGTTGTCAAGCTCCAAATGCTGGACACGCTAATGGAAGTATGGTCTAATGATAAATCTGGGGGTTTTTTTTCCACTGCTCTGTCATCAGAGAAAGCCACTTCATATTGAACACAGGCAAAAAAAAATTACATCGTCTTTTGTAGTGATGTGTAAACAACATATCTTAGAACATACCAAGACAAATCCTGTATGGTGTGGGGTTGGAAAGGAGCTAAGTATGAAAGCTCTGTGTCCCCGGTTTGCTGCTACCTGTTGTGCCCGGTCACAGAGTTTCAGTCTCACTTCACGCAGCGCACGCGGASAGGAGTGTGCAGCACGTGTGGCATCCCCAGACCTCCTGCAGATGGGTCAGTGCCGAAGATCTGCCTGCAACAGAGGGGCTGTGAGGTGGAAATATAACTCAGGGCTGCGCAGGGTCTGGAATAAGCACTTGGCTCGCTCACAGACTCTTTTGCAACTGCAATTTGCACGGTTCACATTTTCTTCTGGAAACGGAGAACAATCCCTGCCCTGCTCTCTGCGAGCTTGCAAGGGCTGCCCTTGGATCTGGGCTCTGTGGCACCCAGTCCAGCAGCTTTGGAGTGTGCTCAGTGTCAGCTGAGMACAGCTCCACCACAGGAATAACAATCCAGAGGCAGTGCTCTTCTGTTAGTAGAACCGCTCAGAGAATCTTGAAAAACCCTACAATTTAATAACAAAATACCCAAGTGACAAACTCTTTGGAGGTGACAATATGCAGGAGAATTAGCAATGGGAGGGAAGCAGAATTTGTGAGTATTATTATATGCCATTAACAACTTTCAGATTTCACTGTGAGTGCTTTGTTGCATCTTGGTTTGTAGTGATGAGTTAAGCTTTCTAATGACACCTTTCTAATGACATCTTTCTCGGAGAATCTAAAAACCTTTACATTTATTGAGTTCCAGTAAGTCTGTAAAACATTAAGTGCTTATAAACTTCGGTTTTGAACAACCTTAGTAGTGTCCATCAATGCAAACCTCCTAAAACCCCTCCTTTCAAGGCACTTGTTGAACACTATCATCTTGAAATGTCAGATTCACACACATTTAAATGATTTGACAGCTTCCAAGATAACACCTGATAAGCATCACATTCAAGTGTCAAGAAGCACAGAGGAAAAGTGCCAAAAAAAGTTCAATCAGAAGAAATCCTATCAGCTATTAGATGAGCATGATAATGCAGTTACTACTAAAAAAGACTTCTCATTTTAATGGAAAATAAACTTTACATTCAAGACAACTCTTTTTTCAAAGGCCTTACATTGCCCCTTTATCACCTCCYATGTTTGCTGTTAGTRAAAYCTTCCAGAAACTGAATCCAGACAGSAGCACCCATCAGGGCTGGGTGAACACCTCAAAACTGCTGTAACTGAGCTTTTGGAGGTGTTACATCTGGGGGTTTTTGTGTGGGAGACAGTGGGTGTTAGAATTCACTATCTTCCCATAAAACCTTTAATGCCTGCTGTTGGCTGTCTAAAAGCTGAATCTCTAAATGAGAAGATTCTTGAAAAAAAATCCTGGCCCTGATTTGCATATGCTCCAGTTATTTCATTGCACCAAATACTATGTGTGTTTTTAYATAGGGGCTTGAGGCTCACTGTGTGTTTGTGATATGCTTTGAGATCCTCTGATGGGAGGTGTTACCTAAATACAAGTAATTTGATGCTGAAGTGTCTAGAATTCCCAGTGGACATCTGCACTCGAGCCCTGCTGCCATCACAAATGAAAAACATTTGGAATCCTTAATGTGATTTTTAATGGACATATGTTCATAACACAGTGCCACCAATTTGGCATATTTAGTGTCTTCTCAAGAGAAGCCCACAGTTTGTATAGCAAGATTGTGGGAGGTTAGGATTGCAGTGTTAGAAAATTTGCACAGCACCTGCCTGACTGTAATTTAATTGGCAGAAATTAATGCTCTGGGTTTATTTTTTCCTCCTCTCAAAACCTAGAGGCACTAGGACTGATCCCGCTGTATTACACTGTTGTATTTAAGCTTTGATTCTGATTTTACTTGTGTGAATTATGATCATTTTCTTGTCTACTCTCTTTCTGACAATAGCATTGCTGGTTTACTCTCAGTTATTTCTATGTACACGGACTTACCTGGCCAGCAAAAAGCACTCAGTATTTTTGTACTTCTCTGAAAAAGGGCTCTGCTTAGTGTTACTAAAGATTATGCTCTACTTTAATTTTAATTAAGGTACTTGATGTGTTTTAAAAGGAAAAYTTTTGGCCAAAATATTTCTGATCAGCTCCACCAGCATCACAGCATGGGGACTCAGAAGACAAACATCAACACCRTCATTATTAAATTTGTTTTGGATTTTATCTTTGCTTACGGCATAGCCCTATCTGGAGCAGTCTTTAGCACCTCTTATCCCACCAGATTTTTGTTTTCCTTTTCAGRAATGTTTGGCTTTGCAGTGCCATCAAGGACAGCCCCTCTTACCTCACTATTTTCTTCCCTTATTTACAAACATAATAAAAGGCTTTGCAGAGSAGATAGAGGGTACAGTCCCAGGGGGTG